ATGTGTGTTCTGTTCAGTGTTCACTGCATGTGTGTTCTGTGTTCACCTGTGCATGTGTGTTCTGTGTTCACCTCTGCATGTGTGTTCAGTGCCGTGTGTCTGGCAAATAAAGTCAAGACCCCCTCAAAAGTTACGGTTTATTTCATTTTAAGGATGAGCACCAAGCAACATCTCCAGGTGCTCCTTTGAGAACCAGGGCAAAAAAGTTATGTGCACCCCTGTTTATAAAATACATCCATTGTTTGTTTATACGCTTCTTGAAAAAAACAAAAACATTGGAAAGCCTGGTTGTTTTGACCAGCAATACAAGTTCTGCTGCGTATGCATATATGCAAGATTTAAGTGAGTTTCTTTCTTATCATATGGTCTTTGATAGAGAGAGAGAGAGAGAGAGAGAGAGAGAGAGAGAGAGAGAGAGAGAGAGAGAGAGAGAGAGAGAGAGAGAGAGAGAGAGAGAGAGAGAGAGAGAGAGAGAGAGAGAGGTGCCAGCAGGAACCGTGTTGTTAGCAACTGGTTAGCTAGCTGCACTAACGGACATAAGGAGCTGGAGGAGGGTCCTCTCCTCTCAGACTGAGAGACTCAGGTGAGCTAAAGGACTCTCTTGAGTGTTTAGATAGTTAATTTTAGTCTTGCATTCACACCTAATAGTCCGCTTCTCTGGTGCGCACCAGGCGACAGTTTCTTAGATTGTTTCATTTTTCAGAAGGTTCGGTTTGTGTTCACACAGGCAAAACTCAAACGGACTATAAACTTTAAACACAAGTCATGTGCACGGACATGCTGTTCAACCATTGGTCAGACATTAAGGGGGTAAAAACGCAAATCCCTGCAATTTCTACCGGAGCCTCCGCCATGGAGCATCGGCACTTTCGGCAGGTTATTCTCATGCTGCTGTTAATCTGGAGATCAACAGACTCTAGCGGCCCGTGCATATGATTATATAATCAGACAACGTCCGTTAAAAAACATTATAACACATATAATGAGAGACGTTATGCAGTAAGGAGGGGCGTTTCACCGACGACAGGTGTTCTTACTTTTATGTAGTTGACGGAGCCTTTTTACTTTACACGACACTGTTCAACACTTAATTCTGCTTCACTCTTTAAATTAACAACCGCGGATGTCTTGAAAGACTCTTTCGCGAAAGATTTTTGAAGACATCCGCGTTCTTGTGACACGTATACACTTCCTATGTTTTGGTGCGGACTGCGTTCACACCAGCAATGAACCACTCCAGAGTTCGCAAGCAAACGTTCCGAGACCACCTATTATAGCGGACCAGAGTCCGATTGTTTAGTTCACTTCAGAGGTCTCGGACTGCGTTCACACCGACCCAAATGAACCGCACCAAGCGGCTAAACGCACCAGGGTTTGATTCAAACGGACTATAAAAGGCTGGTGTGCATGCGCCGTTATCTCAGTGGGTCTCAAACGGTTTGGTCACAAATTATTCAAAATATTATTTCCTCGGCACACCTTCATATGATCATTGTAGTCTATATGGCACTAAAACAAGAATAGAGTTTAAAAGGGGAATGATTTGTAAAATATCCATAAAGAAAAAGAATATCAGTTTACAGTTCTGTTTCATATGGGTGTTGAGAGATGTATCCATAGATCTCTTAGGTCGAAGCGCGCCACCCATGGGCCGATGAATGCATGGGCGACATCCGAAACTGTCGAGGCGAACCGTGAGCCGCGGTCAGAGGAGAGGCCAGGCAGGGTCCAGTAGTGCGCCACCCAGGCGGCGATGAAAGCGAGGGCGACGTCCGAAGCCGCTGCCGAGGCGAGAGAAGAGTCCAGACAGGGTCACGGAGCGCGCCACCCATGGGCCGATGAAAGCATGGGCGACGTCCGAAACTGTCGAGGCGAGACGGGGTCCAGGAGTACGCCACCCAGACGCCGATGAAAACGTAGGCGACGTCCGGAACCGCCGTTGAGGTGGTGAAAAAGTGAGAGTGTCCACACGAGGTCAACCAGCTGGTCGAACCTCATCTCCGGCACCGGAAAAAAAATGTAACAGTCAAATGTTAACACGTGGATGCAGTCAGCCGTTAGTTGCTAGCCGTTAGCTATTCACGTTAGCCATCGTTGTTATCCGTTAGCTGCTAGCCGTTGTTAGCCGTTAGCTGTCGTTGTTAGCCGTTGTTAGCCGTCGGTAGCTGCTAGCTGTCGTGGTTAGCTGTTAGCTGTTAGCCGGTGTCGTCGGCCGCTCGCCGTAAGCCGCTAGCCGTTAGTCGATGTCGTCGGCCCCGGAGCCTCTGCTAGGCGGCGTGCCCCCACCAGGGAAGGTGCCGCTGCGTGTAGTGGCCAGCACCTCAGGGGTAAATTGTGGGGCGGCCAGGAAGAACCGGCTAGCTTCTTCGGCTAAAGCGTGGGGCTCAACACTAGCTGTGTTAGCTAGCGCAGCCTGGACATGCAGCCGCATGTCCCAAAGAAACAGTTCCATGAGGTAGAAGTCGGGTTCTTCCGTACCTAGCAGGTCGTGTATCGTCTCCTTGTAGTCGGAAGGCTTGCTGACTTCCAGTGCCGAGACGATGCGGGAATGGCGAGCGACGTCCTCAGCCATTCCATGGGGGGCGCACCGAGTCTCAGTCCGTGTGCACGTGGCAGTCACAGACGTCTCCAAAAATCTCCGGCAGTTAGCGAAAAACGGCCTCTCAAGCCATGTTCGGTGCAGTCCCGGAAACTTCAGCGAGACTTAAGTCAGGGTCACCAGTGTAGTGTCGAGAGATAGGAGTCGGAGGCGGTGCATCGAAGGTGCAAAAGGTAGCTTTATTGAGGAGCAGAAAAGGACATGTTGCTTGCTTGCAGTCTGAGTAGAGAAGAGAAAGAGAAAGGAAGGAGGACACAATACCCCAGAGGTACAGTAAGCATTAGTGTCCGTGCGGAACAATACCCCCAACCTGTAGTTCCATGATTGAATTATGTAACCCAGTGTATTAATAAGTGATCACTACAATACGCCCATAATGAATATTCATCAAACCGATTTCAGGCAAAAAACGAACATGGCAAAGACAGAAAAAAGAGGCAAGAAAATAAACTTCAATAACTGTGAAGTTGAAATCCTTGTCGGAGAAGTGGAGACAAGGCGTAACGAATGCCAAAAAGGCAACAGAGTGGCAGCATGTGGCAGATGCTGTCAACTCTGCATCAGCACAGGGTCGCACTGTCGCTGAAATAAAAAATAAGTGGTCAGACATTAAGGTGGACGCCAAAAAATGCCTGGCCTCACATAGGCAGAGTGTGTGTGCCACGGGAGGGGGAAAGGGGGCACCGGAGCTCACCCCTATGGATGAAAGGCTGGCCGGTATAATCGGTGAATCCCTGCTGAGTGCTAGCCATAATAACACGAAGATTCGTCATAATCATAATGAATATTGAACTAGTTACAGTGTTTCCCCTAGGATGGAGTCATAGCAGCGGTGCTAAGGCACGTGGGCCCAGCATAATGTAAGCGTGGAATTTTTTAGTGCGTGCGAAGTGCGCCCCGCCAATTTGTTTCTATGAGTCTGCCAGCAAAATAAAGGCTCTTGAGGCCTAGTACCAGGGCCGGTTCTAGCCAATTTGCTGCCCTAGGCGAGATTTTATATATAAAGAATAAATGAAAAATCTCTACAAAACACAAATACACTACAAAAACAGAAACTGATTGACATAGGTAATATACGTCAAAATGGCTTGAAATGTATTCAGTATTGTATGAACATGTTTTAATTGGGGGGTGGACGTCACATCCTCTAGGGGGGTCCGGGGGTATGTCCCCCCGGGAAGATTTTTGTTGAACATTTTAAAGTAAAATGCTTCAATCTGGTGCACTTTGAGCACACAATTACTAGAGACCTGATCTAGGGGGTACAACTCTAAACACCCATATGAAAAAGATCGGTTTACATTTTAATAATCAAATAAGTATGTGAACATAACCAATAACCTACCATAGCCAATAACAAATAAATGTAACTTATTTTATTTTTGTTGTTCATTCATATCTTATTTTACCTAGTTAACATTTATTTATTTATGCATATTTTTGTATCTCTCCAACTTTAAACCATATTTTTGGTTTACTGTCCTATAGTATACATTGGAATGATTTCAAACCTGTTTATATTTATCCTAATAATTATAATATAGGAGTGCCTTGGAAATATGTGTTTACATAATTTGTAAACACATATTAGTTTGAGACCCACTGAGTTAAGTTAGACTAAAATTAACTATCTAAACACTCAAGAGTCCCTAACCTCACCTGAGCTGTTGATCTCTCTGTCTGACAGCAGAGGACTCTCCCTCCACCTTGTTGTTGAAACAGCTCCTTATGTCTTTTAGAGCAGCTAGCTAACCAGATGCTAACAACAAAAATACAAGTAACTGGTGCGCACTCTCTCTCTCGCTCGTGCCATACATACACACACCCTCCCGAGCTTGAATGACACACAGAGACCAATTGAGGGCTTTGATTTATAATCGGTATGGAAGTGGCCATGTCGGCAGGCCACATCATGTAGACCAGTGGTCACCAACCTTTTTAAGCCCAAGATCACCGACCTCGGCCTAGGTGAAAGGCGAGATCTACCTATTGCAGAATTGAGTGACAAAGACGGTCCAGACAGTGCATCCAATTTGAGGCCTTTTATATAGGCTAATTGCATCTGAATTACTGTTACAATGAAGGCTCCATAATCAGCTCAATAGGCTTATAGGCAGGGGTAAAGTGCTATTTTTTATGAGTGGGGGGCAGACCTCACCTCCTCTAGGGGGGGTCCGGGGGGATGCTTTGGTTTCAATTGCAGTATGAACATTTTAGCAGTTTTCAGAACTTTTGTTTGATAACTCTTTAACTACTTCAGAGGAACAGGTAAAAGGCCTACAGCGCCTGAAGTAGATTATAAAATTAGATGTACTGTGCTGAATACCTTTATGTTCAATTTATGTTACTTGCAGACATTCATTGGTAAATTATAAAAAAAGAAAAGATTAAGGACCAAAAATGCACTGCTCCTCTTTATTTATACACATCAATAGGACCACAACGTCTCTTTAGGCCAAAGCCTGATTGGATTAGCACCATTCCCACCACCAACATCATATTTTCTTCCTTAGCGTCACATTCAGTTACACTGAACACATAAGATAGCAGAGTCAACTAGAAATTAATTAGATAAATCAGACAATGATTAAGTTCATTATACGTAAACCCATCTAGTAAGTTGTCCAAAGCCTTCCATAAAACAAAAAGGCACAAACTCATAAGATTGAAATCAGTGACCTGGTGAATGTATAGGTGATAGAACACAGATTTATCATTGTGGTAGTCACCCTTGCGACTGTGATACTAGTAAACTGCATTCATGGAACATCAACTATATTTGGTTTATGTCAAGTCACAATTGTATATATAGATAATGGCTGTGGGCACTGATCATAATGGGCTTCATGCTGAAAAAAGGCCATTGGCATGGAGCCTGACCAATATCTTGAAATGTCCATTTTTTTATTGATGATTAAAGGGAACTGGTCCTCACACTGGAAGAATATAGATGTTCAGGTTGAATCCTGGTAGAGCAGGAAGCCAGAGAAGGTGCTGTACTTCCAGGTGCTTCCATAGATTGCCCCGCGATGCAAACGGAGCCACACTTGGTCTCCCTGAAAGAGGGGCAGGATAGCGTGGTTGCTGGCTGTCTCGTGATCTGGGGCCCCATCGTTGGCGTATGCAGAAACCATCACCTCTCCGTTGCGCATGAGGTTAATATAGAGAGGTACGTTGATGGCAAGCTTCAGGATGTGGAAAAGGAAGACATAGGTTCCATTGACAGGGGAGGTGAAGCGGCCAATGCGGGTGTCAAACATCTCTCCAAGGTTGCTGTGCAGTTGGTCGAAGGCAATGGGCTGGTCCAGATTGCCTGGGGCAAAATTGGCAGTGCGAGAGGCATTAAAGGCCACTCTCAATGGCTGGGAGAGTGGGTAGAGTTGCATCGGAAGCAGGTTTTGATGGTCACCGTGGGGAGAGAGAGGGACCTCCATGGTGGACACCGACAGAGAATCCCCCTGACCCGAGTCCACAATTGTAAATGCTCCCTCTCGGTCTGGGGTGCTGACCTGGGAAGAGTCACTCCAGGCTGCTACAGAGTCCAGACAAAAACAATAGTCAGCGATAACACAGTCTGGGGTTTTCAAACTCTCCTTTAGTCTAGTTGAATCTTAGTTAAATCACATGTGAACACAGCAATCTTATTCTGCTGCTGACCAAAACAACCTCACCCAATCCTTAGAGACATGTACGTTTGAATTTGGAGAGGTGGACAAAGTCAGTTACTCTTTCAAAGAGGACTTTCATGACTCATTTTACACACGAAAAACATTGGCTGATAAAATGTGTCAAGCATATCCCATTTTGTCTTCTGGCTCCAAAAGCTTTCCAAATTCAGAATGTATGCACTTCTCTGATCTGATATGCCCCATAAGCAGTGCTTATTAAAGTAAGCGTATCAATTCATTTAAAACATTTATTCCTTCTAATTACCGTTCTTTAGGGAATCGCTTTAGCAAGTATTGATACAAAGTATTTTCCAAGAGGAAAATTATACGCGTTAGAACTTGTGATCTTACCACTCAAGTTATGCCTCCCTCCTCCACATCTATGGCCATGATGGTATCCAGCGTCCTGGAAAATACCAGAGGAATTTTAGAAGTGTATAGAATAGAGTTAACAATGTTGCGTGGCTGGGCATAGTCTGTTTTGTGACTCCTTGGTGGTCTGTAGCATGATGACCCACATTGGCTTTTTTCTTGTTTAAACATCGTCTGAGATACAAAATAGATTTTATGATCATTCTGCCGATATGAACACCACATTTGGCTAACCTAGGACCCATCACCTTATGCATGTCCTATGTGCTTGTAATTTAGTGAGTGGAAATACATTAAGCAGATGGGACTAGGCAATGTTTGTTTAGTTTTGTTTAAAAAAGGGCCCTGGTAAAGATGAAAGGATCCACTCTACACATTTATTTAAAGATTAAAAAAAACAATGGACGACTAAGCAAACAATTCACAATTCCAAAAGGCGAAATGTAGGGACAATTTTTCACAATAATTGGACAAAATACTTAAGCCTTGGGTAGGCAACATTTGAGAAGACGGCAAGAAGATATATTTTCAAAATGATTCAACCAACAATCCCAGCCCATTGAGCCAACTCATTTCCAATGCAAGTAGCTAGCAACATTAGCTCCAAAGATTGCTTAATAATAGTATTCAGTAGTCAATTTGGCGCTTTGACTGCCTTTCCCTAAAGCCTTGGAACATGGCTGTTAATTCTCACAGCTGTTAAGTTGGCAGCTTTTGGATAAGCATTTGTTTGTCAGACTATTCCTAACAGCCAAGTTTGCCCATTTCATAAAAAACGGTAATTCACTTACTCTCGCAGCATAGAAGGTGGGGCCACAGTCCCTTAGATGAGTCTGGGGAATGTAGGATCCTCCTGAAGAGAATAAATCAGCAGAGGTTCAGAATTACCACATAGTTGTCAAGAGTTTAGAAGCAAACTTTTGATTTGATCAACATACCTGGTTGTAGTTCGTCTTCCGGGGGGAAAAACTCAGCTGGTGTTTGGGTACTGGCAGTGCTGTACCTAGGTTCAGCAAAAACTGAAGAATCTGGTTTGTATTTCAATTCTCCATTCTGAGAAAAGGTAGCATTCACCTTGAAGACCTATAGTGAGAATAACATGGGCAACAAAGAATCAGATTCAATCAATTCAATAATTATGACTAAACGTTCTTGATCATACAGGCAAATCAACCGTCATGCTGCAACTGTAACTGGCAGACATAGTTTTTACCGACAAGACACACATGTAGCCAATGTCTGAGGTAACTTAGACAGCCAATATCTGAATAGACATGTAAATGCATATCGTTTTAGAGACAGAAATTGAGTTTGAGGAAACATTCTTATTATTCTGGCAAATCATTACCACAGCACCTATTCTGAAAAAAAAAGAAAAAATGTTAGGCCAGAGACCGGGGCTACTGGAGAGAGGCCTTTGGGTGTCCCATGACTGTCTCCCTTGCATGTTGTGGCAATACCTACTGCATCATAACTACAACCAGTCTGCCAGCTCCACCAACATGATTTATATATGAAGTACTTTGAGCGGTTAGTCAAAACCTTCATCACCTCCTCCCTCCCTGACTCTCTGGACCCCCTGCAGTTTGCCTACAGAGCAAACAGGTCCACAGACGACGCAATCGCCCACACTGCCCTCTCACACCTGGACCAGAGGAACACATATGTGAGAATGCTGTTCATTGATTACAGTTCAGCTTTCAACACCATTGTGCCCTCCAAGCTGGCCATCAAGCTCAGAGACCTCGGGCTCAACAGCGCCCTCTGTGACTGGATCCTGAACTTCCTGACGGGCAGACCCCAGGCAGTGCGGGTGGGAAACATCACATCCTCCACCCTGATCCTCAACACCGGTGCCCCCCAAGGCTGCGTGATCAGCCCTCTCCTCTACTCCCCGTTCACTCACGACTGCGTGGCCACACACAGCTCCAACACCATCGTGAAGTTTGCTGACGACACGACCGTCATCGGCCTGATCACCGACGACGACGAGACGGCGTACAGAGAGGAGGTCGGAAAACTGACATCTTGGTGCCAGGATAACAACCTCCATCTCAACGTCAGCAAAACAAAGGAGCTGATTGTGGATTACAGGAAGCAGCAGGGAGAGGGACACGCCCCCATCACCATCAATGGGACTACGGTGGAGAGTCAGCAGCTTCAGGTTCCTCTGTGTGCACATCACTGTGGACTCTTCACACCACCACCAAGAAAGCTCGACAGCGGCTCTTCTTCCTCCGCAGGCTGAGGAGGTTCAACATGGACTCCAGGATACTCGGCAACTTCTACAGGTGCTCCAGGCGTGCCGGATTCATTTTAGAAGTGGGGGGGCCAAAACGGTGCGTGTGTATGGCCCAATCCCAAACCACGCCCTACCCCTACACACTCCCGCTCCGTGACGGAGTGAACTCCGTGGAGTGACACATGAGGCTCCCTCCTGTCAGATGGAGGGAGTAAATACAGCGGCAAGCTTTGGGACAAACTCCCCTCTCTCCGGCAGAAACAGGAAATGCCGTAACTGTATGTGACAACGGTTTCAAATCAGCATCTCTTTGACAAAAAATGTAAATTATTAACTCAAATAAAACTCCAAACATCTTTCATTGTGTTGCTCTTTTAGTTTTAAACCTGATGTTTATAAGCTTCTTAGTTTTTGCAACAGTCTGTAAATATACACAACTTTATAATAAAATGCACACATTTACCTTTTTCTAGACTAAACACAGGTATGATCCTAAGTTAAAAAAATATGAGGTTATCATGAGGTTGTTAACATCGCAATTTATCAGTGGATGTTTGCTGGAAGCCTGGAACTACTTGTAAACCGCGTGTTTCCTGACGGACACACACAGCGTTGAGACCGGTCAGGTACCTCTGGCTATAGGTAATGCAATTCATTACATTGCATTTAGCTGACGCTTTTATCCAAAGCGACTTACGTTAGTAAGTGCGTTCGACCAACAAAATACAAATTCATGAAACTTATTTCAAGAAATGGACATACATTTGTTATTTAACCGAACCAAACAACAATTCTTGTGAAAATAACGTATAACGAGCTTGTTAACAGTAACACAAGCTGTGATGTCGTGTAATTAAAATCACATGACTAAAATGTCCAATAACAATTGTGTGTTTCCCACAATACATAGGGTAAAGCAAAAAAAAATCTCCACGTGGCTAAATCTACTTCATCTTCCTACAGTTTGCCAAAGTAAACCTCCCTTCGCTCACTGGTAAAGCAGAAACTCCGGAGCACTTTTTTGAGGTCCAGGCCGTCGGTCAAATCTTTGTGGATGTGGAAGAAGAGAAGGTGATTTAAGCTCAGCTGTTGCATTGGACATCGGCACAGTCAAATAGCCGTAGAAGGTTGTCCACTTCACTGAAGAGGGATTGCGTGCTTCGTCCCTGTGCCGTCAGCATGTCCGCGATTGTGGCCACCTTTGTCACCAGAGTGATGGGTCTTTCAGCGGTGGAACTGTTGTGTGCCTGCAAAACTGCTGGAAACAGTGACAACTGGGTGGACAGCCGTTCCATGTCAATATCACCTGTGTACATGTCGACCAGATCTTGGGGGAAGTTGATGCTGTCGAATCCCGGGGGACTGTTTACTGCTGTGAGGAGTACCTGTTCCATGCTCATCAGCAGAAGCAGAGTGGGTTGGTTAAACCTGCGAGTCAGCTCAGAAGTGAGCAGGTCAACTACCTCAAAGAACTGGCTCCTGAAGTAGTCCTCTGGATTTTCCCACTGATGAGGTGCATCTCCATCATCATAACGGCGTGGAGCACGCCGCCTTGGAGGAAGAGCCGGTGCCTGGACCATGGTCATGGACATGGACCATGGTCGTTCTTTGGGCATCTTCAAAGATGCTGTGGAATGCCTCTGTGGACCTCAGGTTTGTGTAGTGTGTCTGGAGCATCTGCACTGCTGACTTAACTGTCTCTGCTGAGAGGTATTTGGACTGGAGCACCCAAGCCACCTCTTCCGCAGAAGAAAACCATTTAAGACACTTTCAGTCCAAAAAAACCACTGAACTGAGTCATCAATGCCTGCAGCCCTGGTGCCTTTTTGCTTGCTTCTGTGTTCCCTCCCATTCGGATTATTTCATCCAAAGTGTCGTAGACGGCTTCATAATTGGCAAGCAAGGATTGTATTGCACTGCCTCTGGCTGTCCAGCGAGTGGGGCAGAGCGGCGTGAGGCCAGCACTGGCACCAGGAGAGGCAGCAGCAGCATCCCTAATGTTTTTAAAGATGGCAAGTTGTTTTGGTGAGTTGTTGATTATCTCATGTATATCGTGAACTAAACTGAAGGCACCACGTACAATGTTGCACTTTGAAGCAGCTTCCTGAAGAATTGGGTTCAAACTGTGATTTGTGCAATGCATTGAGACTGCTTTGGGATTGATTTCTTTAAAACGTTTGGCCACACCTGACATTTGTCCCTGTAGAACAGATGCGCCATCGTAGGTTTGCCCTCCATGTCACCAATGTCCAGGCCGCATCTCATTAACATGTCCTTAATAGTAGTTTCATCCACAATAACTGCATAGTGTTTTGCATTGCTTTTAAATTTCAGTTAATATAGTGGTGAGAGACTCCCGATACATTCGATTTATAAGTCTGAGACGTCGCAAAGAGACGGAGCGGCTCCAGCTGTTGCTGCCTGCTTTCCACCTGTCTGGTGTCTGCGATCTGCGGAGGCCTGCTCCCACCTGTAGAGTACGGCTGTGCTGAAGAGGTTTTTACCCCGGAGACGTCGCGAAGAGACAGAGCGGCTCCACCTGTTGCTGCCTGCTTTCCACCTGTCTGGTGTCTGCGATCTGCGGAGGCCTGCTCCCACCTGTAGAGTACGGCTGTGCTGAGGAGGTTTTTACCCCGGAGTCGTCACGGAGAGACGGAGTGGCTCCACGCTTCGGGCTTGGCCTGCTTCCTCCGGGCATGTGCTGCTGTGCGGAGGAGGATTTTACCACGGCTGAGGCCTGCTTTCCACCTGTCCTGCTCCCACCTGTCGTGTGCTGCGGTGTCGTGTGCTGCTTGCTGAGGAGACCTTTCACCCCGGGGATACCACAGAGGGACCGGAGAGCTTCCACGCTGCTGCTTTCGCCTGTCCTTTGCTGCTGTGCTGATTTGCTCCAGGAACATTGTGGATACTGTGTGCTGGTCTGGGAAAATGGCCCATATCGGGATTCTGCTGTGCCTGTTAACTGTTTTGGACTATGAGAAGATCTCTAGCCATTCTGAGAAGTCTACTGGATTCAGGTCTGTTCTGCCATCCGCAGTGGGCATCCCCTGCAAAGGTTCGGATGTGTTACACAAACAATTACCGGTTGCCTTGTCACAGACAATCTGCTCGACAAAATATGTTTGTCTTTTTTGTTTTCCTGCGATGATGGTTCTTCAGGACTGCTTCTTAAGCTCAAATCACACTCTCGCAGACTTTTCCGGTGATTCTAAACTAGATGACAATGTATGTGTGTCGATTAAGAGGAAAAGATGCCTGGTTTTTTTGTTGCTATTACTGTCAGGAAATGTACAACAAGTAGTAGTCGCTACTCCTGCTGATTTTAAAGCTAGGTCTGGGTTGGGTTTCACCCATTTGAATGTGCGCAGTCTGTTCGGTAAACTAGATTTTGTCCGCATTTGGGCAAGCTCGACTGACGCTGACGTCATTGTTTTATCAGAATTCTCTTCTCGTTTCCTGCTCAATATGCTGTTGTTTGACAAGCTGTATGTTGACTGGTGTTTGACTGAAGAAAGCTCACTTTTTTTAATACACTGTGGAAATTAGACTTTTCGTGGCTGTCCAGGAGGCTTGGGCACTTTTTCCAGTTATTAACTCTGGTATTAACAAAGCTGTCATCTCCACATTTTGAGAAAGTTACAAGCCGTTTGACAGCAGCAAATCTGCATATTTCACAGAAGGCTCGTTTAGTGGTTTTGCAAAGAATTAACCACTTTCTGTTTTTGTACCATTCTGCGTTGAAGTACCTTTCTCTTTGCCCAAATAATCTAGCGGTCTCCTTTTTTTCGACAGTTAGCTGTACAGCTTTACCCGTCTCAATGTCCCGACAATAAACTTCCATGCAGTCGGAACCAGCCTGTTTCGGTTCAACGACGGCGGTGGTTTTGACAGGCTTCGCTGTTTCTATGATTGATGAAGGTCCAGGCTCCGGAGATGTGGATGTCAGGGATGTGACCTTCCAGTTGTTAAATTTAAGTTTAGATTGACTGTATTTAGTTTTGTTCTGCGCTGGTTCTTCTGACATATTTACAAGTGTATATATTATTTCTATCTAGGTTAACGGCTGACACACACAGAACAACGTAACAAATAAAGTAACCAACGTAACAAATAAACAAATCTAAGCTTTTTTTATTGGTTGTAATTTACATGGATACATTTGAATGGTGTGACAATGTCCTATTTGATTGGGTGAAAATGTACATATTCTTCCTGTTATGTCTGCCTGCTTTATTTTACCTAATGCAAAGTGACCTGCTCTATCGAAATCAGTCGCATTGACCCGAAGACACATTTTGAGTTGTATACAGTGTTGGAAAGAGGAGATTCCTAGCTTTCTAATGATATCAGGATTGTTTTTGTACTCCAAATATTAAGCAAAATATGTCACATTATATAATGACTGTCACCGAGTCATCATTTTGAGAAAAAGGCCTTTAAAGTTTCCTCTTCTCTGGATCGATCTGATTGATTATTAGCGGAGCAAATGATCAAAGTAGTACGGAGGGAAGATATTTTCCTTTGGATTACTGGTCTGGGGGAAGCTCGCGAGTGTGTGTGTGTATATACACGTGTGTGTATTTTTGCGTTTGTGTGTATTGTGTTTGTTTCCCGGGGAAAACCCTCACGAGAAACACCGGCTGTTGTTATGCCTGCAGTGACGTTAAGTTACTCCGTTCTCCGCTTGTAATTATGCCGTTAAAAGCTTCAAAGCTGTATTTATCATCTGAATTTGCCGAAACAAGTTTAATATTCTGAAAGCCAAGACTTTGTTTATTTGAAATCAGATGAAAACAAACTGTAACGGACCCTGCCGTGTTATATATGATTACTATACGCCTTACATTCATAATTTCAGCGGAGGGAGGGGAAGCGGCGCTGAGGAACAGCAGAGTGGCGAGTGAGAGGCGAGCTGTCATCTTCCCTTTACGAGTTTCAAAAATGCCTGTAGCTAGTGAGATTGAATATAACAATAAAAAATAACAAAATATACACAGCTAGATCAGATCGCGTTTTAGATGCGACTTTAGAGTAGAGGGGAATTATTGAAACGGGATTTGTACATTGTTCCGTGGCATCCGCCGCTGCGAAAATGCCCTTGAGGTGCACCATAGAGAGTATTGTGGTGACCACCTATTTATACACTGGGTTCATAATTCACACATGGAACTACAGTTGGGGTTTTGTTTCCACACGGACATGTTATGTGTTGTCTATATATGTTGTGTGCCCTCCTGGCTTCTCTCTCTTCTTCCCAGACTGCAACCAGACAACATGACCTTAGATACTTCTCAATAAAGTACCCTTTTGCACCTTCCTTGCACTGCCTCTGACTCCCTATCTCTCGGCACTACAGTATCCTGACTGGCTGCATCACGGCCTGGTACGGCAGCTGCAACGCCCTCAATCGCAAGGCTTTACAGAGGGTTGTGAAAACTGCACAGCACATCACCAGGACGGAGCTGCCATCCATGGAGGACCTTTACTCCCAGCGGCTCAGGAAGAAAGCCCTCAGGATTATCAAAGACCCCCCATCACCCCAGCCACAAACTGTTCAGTCTGCTGCCGTCTGGCAGGCGTTACCGCAGCATCCGGACAAAAACCACCAGACTCAGGGACAGCTTCATCCCACAGGCAATAAGACTGTTAAACACCTGAACTGTTGAAACTATTTCATAACATTCATCTGCTACTTAGTCATTATTTATCTATTATCCAATATATCATTCCAATAACTTGTATATAGACTCGTATTGCACTATTCCACTTCTTTTTTTCTCACTTTTTTCAAAACTATTTTTCTTTTTGTATTACTTTCAATATAATATACTTTAATATTGTCTGCTTATCTGTATCATTGTGTTGCATTGTTGGAGAAGCCTGTGACCTAAGATTTTTAACGACAATTACTCTGTAGCTATGTTAGTTTGACAATAAAGAACCTTGAAATATTGAGATTCTACACAGCGCAAATATAAGAGACATTTTATGACTTCCAATATATTTCAGATACCTGCAGACTTTCGGCCCTACATTGATTTCGCCCAAAAGAAAAATGATGTATGCTTTGGTGAAACTAACCTGCTGGATATTCTGAAACTGTGAAGAAGTCAGAGTTCGTCTGGAGGGAGGTGTGGAGAAAGTCCTTCCCTGAGGAAGGTTGACAGTGCACGACTCAACCCTGCTGCAGGGGGGATGCTTCTTTGACTCTGGAGTCTGTGGAATACCAGCATGCATTAAAAGCATAGAAAACACTTCACATCAGCCCAATACTTTGTCCCATTTACATAAGCGCAGCTCTTCTCCAGGCTGACAGGAATGGTGGCCTCCCTGCGGTACAGCGGAGGTGAAGGAAACCCCTTGCTTTCAGCCAGCTGCCGCGGCTCCTGCAAAGAAGAGACGGATTCAACCACTGAGAGACAGGATACGATTATGTTGCATCTTAAAAAGGCAATATGATGCTTCTTACATGAGGCAAGTCCAGTGAAGGAACTTTTAGTGCACTGGTCTCCAAGCACTGATCCCCATTAGTCTTACTGGCTCTGCGCTCAATAAGCCTGGTAGGCAGTGGGGTGGACTAAGTGGGGGGTAAATTAAGTGATGAATGGTCCAAGTCATTTTACATTTCATCAGAACCGAGTCAAAGACAGAGAACTGTCCGCTTACATGCATTTCTTTTGGCAGGACATCAATTGGACTTCCTAAGTCAGCATGTCCTGGTTAGAATATAAGTACAACGAGATTATACAAGTACAACGAGAATAGGAAAGCTACTCCTTTTAAGGTGCCATCAAAACATTCAGAAAATACATCATACAAAGACACGCAGCATTCATAAAATAACTAAATAAAGGGCAGGAAACTGAAAACTGTCTTTGCTTTAAAAAGGTCTGTAGCGCCTCCCGGAGGGCAGCAGGTCAAACAGGTGAAAACCGTGGTGTGAACTGTCTTTTACGATGTTGGTGGGATCAGCAAGGGGAGAGGGCAGCCGATGATTTGTATGACTTTTGAGCCTCTTCCCGTGTGCCTCAGTGCAGCTGGCGTACTGTAACAGTTCTGTAATCAGTATGATCAGGCTCTGGATGGACGGGCGGTAGCGGTTAGTTGAGGAAAACCAAATTAAGAAATGAATCAGTGAAAATCTCCAACTCTTAAAATGATGCAGTTACAAATTCATTATCATTGCAGAGATGATACATTTGCAATACTAACATGTGGTGAAAAAATGAGGACCAAGCATAAAAACATATTCCAAAAAGGTCATGTTAATGGTATGATTTGAGAGAAATGCCAACGATTGTTATCAGTTTGGTTACTGAGATTCACAGGACAGGAATATGAACAGAGTTTCCAAAGAGGCGAATAGAGGAGGGCGCTTTAATTAAAAGAATGTAAAGGCCTTTCCCCTATTTGGTCCAAGTTACCTAAAGGGGATGGAGATTTAGATGACCTCTGCTTCAGTTTTTGGTGGACATTGATTGGAGAGATCTCACCCTCTAGAAGAGAGTCCTGAACAGGAAAGAATCATTTTAAAACCTTTAACTTTCTGTATCACTTGCAAAGATGATGATTAAATACAGGTTTATCCTCTAGAGTGGTTCATTATATTTTCATTGGTTTGCAAAGAGCCAAACACCACCTGCATAAAACTGAAGGAGCCATGGATCTTTGTCACAAGGTCCTCTAGGTGCTGTTTTCTGAGGAAAGGGTCTTTGGGTAAGGCATATGTAGAGTTGAAAACCTCCACAGGCATATCCATGTAAACTGCCTGTTGGGAAGAGTAAAGTTAAACAAAAACAGACATCTCTACCCAACATACACAATTTGCAAACTAACCACTCGTACTCACCGAGTTGGCGGGTTGCACTCCTTTGGCTCTCCGTTTTCTCTGTGGGATACACACACACACACACACACACAATGACATATGGTCCTGCAACCCCTGCATCAGCTGCTGTGGAACACCACATTTGAACCATCTTTGTTTATTTGCTAGGGTTGTGGGTTCCTGAATACAACAAATGATCAACTGCTACCATACCAACTTGCAAAATATCAATTTTCGTTTAGCTTAAAAATATCAAACGGACACTTTGCCAATAGACGTGGATCAGGGTTTCCGCTAGGATTTTTTCTCGCCGGTCAAATGTCCGGGCAGAATTAATTTTATCGGACAAATTTGAAACTTACCGGTCATATTTCACTAATAATAAGAGTTGTGTAGCAGAGTTTCCGTTAGCAGGTAATTACCGGACTATGAGCGGATAAGCTGATGTTTAAAACTCAGTTAATGGGGCTCGTTTTTATATTGCTTCAGTTTATAATCGTAACAGATCGAAAAATTCAGATTCATTTTCCAATAAATGATTCCACAAACAACAAACATAATTATTACATTCAAACAAACTACTTGTAGTAGATGAAGTACATTATTCAAAAGTTTACATTAACTTTGAATAATAACACGGGAGAAACGGATCATCTCTTTTCCCCTCTCTCTCCCTCTCTCTCTGACAGCCCGTCAGTTTCTCATGCAGCTCGCTAAACAGAGGGCGGGGCTTCAGGTGATTATGCAGAGCTGCGTGTCTCGGTCAGACTCAGCAGCTGATCTGATCTCTCTCTCGTGTCCGGTTATACTTCACTCGCGTTTATGTCCATATCGATCAGATCCAGCTCTCCTGATCGTTCTTTATAGAGAGCACCGATCAAACTATTAAGAGTGAATATCGGCCGATAATGATCGGCGGCCGATCTATCGGAGCCTCCCTAATTATTACCAGACATTTTGACCGGGAGGTTTTGAATTTACCGGTTTTTAATAAATGTTACCAGCTAAAAACCGGTAATTACCGGCTAACGGAAACCCTGACGTGGATGTAAGACACGTTGTAGCATTCACTATCAAAAATAATGTGTGTTGTTGCATTTTAAAAAGGTCTCCTATTATACTATTTTTAGGCATACATTATATATATCAGATATGTAAAAACATGTCTATGAAGTGTTTTGCCCAAAATGCCAAACAGATCATGCATTGTAGTATGCCTCATACTCAGCAGCGGCCGGCCCATAGGGTCACTAGGGCGCCGCCCCACCTCTTCCCACATTCTAGATTGTGATTAAAAAATATATTTTTTTAACATTTTCTTTTACATTTTTTATGAACAAGGTGCATATTATATAGTTGGTGTCAGTTAAATGTATAATCTACGATAACATATCGATAACAATTGTTTTACGATGTCTAAAGTTACTGATAAGTCACGTGTTTCCTGCTTGGGGCGCATAAATCTTTGCCCATTGGCTCTCGTGGTGCATGCGCAGTCCGCACCTCTTCAATACAAGTGATAGGAGCAGCTCGGAGCGCACCAAACTGCGCCCAAAGCAGCTGTTGACACACCAACAACTAGGGAGCAGCAGGAGTACCAGAGCGAGTGATTGACGTTTGAATGAGAGAGAATTAAACAGTGTAAACAAAACTAGATATATCAGGCAAAAAAAACTAAAAAGCATGAACAAACTAGAGTCCACATGGATGATGCTATGCGACTAGCCATGTTTAGGAAAGTAAACGCAGCTGTCCAATGAGGGCTACAGGATAGGGATCAGTTAGCATAATAAGGAGGTTGACAAAAGCAGGCACTCAAATAATAGACTGTATCAAGTGCTGTGTGCCTTTGAGCTAGCCCTGCGTTGTAATATGACATATGTTTTGAGTTTGTGTATACGTTTGCTTAAATGTTGGTAGAGCCCCCCTGGAGAAAAATGCACCAGCCGCCACTGCTCATACCCCTCTATTTCAGCCCTGTTACAAAAGTGCTGAAGCGCCATAAACGTATAAACTATATCTTTAAAAGGTTGTTGGTTTATGATCACATTTGTATATGATAATGTATGAAGTCAGTCAAAATAATCTTAGTTATTCTTAGAAATACCTTTCAGATTCAGAAATAATTGTTATAAGAAAAATACTGATCTAATAACAGAGTTTTGTTCATGAATCAACCTTTTATGTAATTTCCCTTTTCCAGGAATCACAATAGAAACAGTTTACCAAACTAATACATTTCTAATTTTGCATCAAATGAAAGATATTTACAGTTAACAATTAGATAATAATGAATGCCATAAATTATTGGATACATTTACAGTTTCTTTTTTCTCCAGTATGATAGCTGTCAAATCAATTTCTCACTTTTTCTAAGACCGTACTTAACCCAATAAAAGGATTTATTCTCAAATAATCGGGTTATTACGTTGTAATAATAACTCATCTCTCTCCAGATTAATGTGGTTGGGTTTATTTTTCTTCTTTGCGAAACGCTGTTGTGTCAAATGTCCTACTTGGGTGGCTGTTCAACATGGAGGACCAACTCGCGCTTGCGCAGTGCAAATCGAGTAATCGCATGCTCTCCTCTGTGACGAGCAGGCTGTCTGCTCAGATACAGCTAACCGCTGCCGTGATTAAACACCATATCATGTTCCAACCACATCAAGCATTCTTTCTGAAACAGTATGGAGCTCAAATGCTTTCTCTTTCGCGGGTTTACCACAAAGCGAGTACCTTTTAATATCCTGCTTTTTTTACACATACTCTTTCCAGTAAAGCGTTAGCTGTGAGTGTTAGCGATGCTTGCTGATCATGACCTTTAACAGGTGCACCATGGAGAGGACCAAAAACACAAGCATAAACAGACCATATTACTTCCAAAACACGTTGCGCATTGTTTCTGACAGCGACGTTTTGATAGCGACGTGGGTGTAAAGCCAGCCCACATTTTAGTAATGTTGTCATGACGCAGCAAATCTGGATCAGCTCCGTTGTTCCCCCGTTTTTAGAGATGTGGGTAAGGAGGAAAAGAGAGAGGGTTGTATTTTCTGACACTTTGTGAGTCTCCTTACATACCGTGAACACATATTTATGTGAAAAATACATCAAAAAGTGCATTTTGCATAATAGGTGACCTTTAACACTCAAGTCTGACTCTGATTCCAATGTTATGATCCAGAACACAGAAGGTCTCATGCTGCCTCACCTGTTTGCAGCCAGCAGATTGTTTCTTGGTGGTGACGGAGCCTTTGGGGATGAAGGTGGCAGCTCCTCTCCATGGTCTGTGAACTGCAGCAGGGGGGGAACTGGGTCCAACAGATGAGTCCAGATCCCAGCAGTCAGGAGGCTCCCGCTCCCTGGTCTGGAAGCCCACCTTCCAGTTCTGAGTTGGAGTTTTCATATAAGTAAGGTACAGTCAGTTGAAAAACTGCCATCCAAATGAAGTGATTCCTGGGTTACAGTCAGCCTGAAATGCAGCTTTAATCATACAAACTGGATATCTGGCTCACCTTCTTGGAAACTTCCTTTGAGTTTGATGTGGCTGACGGGGACAAATAAATATGAAATCCACCATATTCAAACAAGGCACACAGTAGTTTCAGTAGTCAATTCATCTTTATACTAGCATGATTTTTAAGTTCAATTTCACCTATAGGGCTGTGGCTGTTGGCTTTCAGAAACTCCTCTGCAGGTTTATTGGGTGGAGATGGAAGACAAGTGAAGTACTTGCAGTTCATCAGCTCAGCGAGTTCTTCTTTGAACAGCTTATCTAAAGAAATAATAAAACACTGCATATTTTATTCTTTTTACCAGTTTTTCCTTTTCTGCAAATAAATTATCTAAAACAAACATGCCCATTTGGAATTTGAGAAATGTCAGTAGTATTTTAGATACGCTGATCATTTTGTAGGTTTATTTTTATTTTTTCCAGGAGCTGTATGTACAAACACTAATTCCCTCAGCTGGGATCTATATCGCTCATAGAACATATCGTCAGGTTTCTTCAACAGATCCATTTGGTCTCAAAATGCTCTCCCTTCCCCTGAAGGTAGGTTCAAATAATGCAATCACTGAGGGCCCAAGATTATGCCAAAATGGTGTGTAGACAATCCAAAGAGATTTGTTAGTATGATACGCTTTTTACAATAGATTAGAATCCAACCAAGTTAGGTCCGGTACATTCTATAGAGTTGAAGGTGCTCATCACAGCATTTTGATGAGGATTTGTCAAACGAAAATACGAGACCATTTTTGGATAAAGGTCATACATTAAAATGGGTTACATTCTTTAGATTGAGTTAGTATCAAACTACTGGTAATAATCATATTTTATGAATTGTAAGGTTTCCTCTAAATATAATGAATTATTATTAATTCAGGAAATGTTATATCTTGACTCAAATCTCAGGCTTTACATGTTGAAAAACAACAACATTCTTCATACCTTATTAGAGACTTGTGGATCTACTGTAGGTTATTGTTGACTCTGTTACTCACATGTGGATCCAGCCACCGGCTTGTCTTTCCCTTCCAGCAGGTTCAGGTGGGCCACAGCCGCCCCGCTCCATCTGCTCCTCTAAACTACAACATGACAGCTGAGGTCATCAACATTGAACTCTTTATACCAGTAAAATGGTGTTATTGTGTACTACAATTTGCATCAACTACTCTTAAAGAAAATGTAGCTTGAAGCCAATCTATGAGGTAAATATTCTTGGCTGAGAGAATAAGTTGTATAAACTGAAGCAGTAATGTTACATGTATGCCACTGATCAGAGCTGTGCAGTTACAGCAACACATTCTGTATGTGATGCATAGCCTCAGAACAAGGTATCATCAATCAGTATGACGTTTTCTTGCAAATGGAATGCTATACAAGTCCTTCAAACCATAATAAATGTTTTTATGACCTGTCCCTATATACTAAGGTCCGTTTAACACTGCTGGTATATTGTAGTTACATAGCCGACTAGTCAATGTATCACAGAAACATTTCAATCATTTCATTTTGAGTTAATTTGGCCAAAGATGTATTGTATTTCTCTGTTTCCTATAGGGGACAGTGTCCGACCTAAATGCAATTTGAAATATAGATCTCCTGACTCATGTTTAGACATTAAGAGCTGTAGAATGTGCAGTTGTCAAATTATAAATAAACGGGAGGCACAGATGGCATCAAGTGGTTCATTAAATATATTACTCATACATTTACACAATTAGTACTAACCCAGAGAGAAAACCTGGCTCTTCTGCAGGTGCACCATAGAGAGGATCCTGACCTTCTACAGGTGCACCATAGAGAGGATCCTGACCTTCTACAGGTGCACCATAGAGAGGATCCTGACCTTCTACAGGTGCTCCATAGAGAGCATCCTGACCTTCTACAGGTGCTCCATAAAGAGGATCCTGACCTTCTACAGGTGCACCATAGAGAGGATCCTGACCTTCTACAGGTGCACCATAGAGAGGATCCTGACCTTCTACAGGTGCACCATAGAGAGCATCCTGACCTTCTACAGGTGCACCATAGAGAGGATCCTGACCTTCTACAGGTGCACCATAGAGAGGATCCTGACCTTCTACAGGTGCTCCATAGAGAGGATCCTGACCTTCTACAGGTGCACCATAGAGAGGATCCTGACCTTCTACAGGTGCACCATAGAGAGGATCCTGACCTTCTACAGGTGCACCATAGAGAGGATCCTGACCTTCTACATGTGCTCCATAGAGAGGATCCTGACCTTCTACAGGTGCTCCATAGAGAGGATCCTGACCTTCTACAGGTGCTCCATAGAGAGGATCCTGACCTTCTACAGGTGCACCATAGAGAGGATCCTGACCTTCTACAGGTGCACCATAGAGAGGATCCTGACCTTCTACAGGTGCACCATAGAGAGGATCCTGACCTTCTACAGGTGCACCATAGAGAGCATCCTGACCTTCTACAGGTGCACCATAGAGAGGATCCTGACCTTCTACAGGTGCACCATAGAGAGGATCCTGACCTTCTACAGGTGCACCATAGATAGGATCCTGACCTTCTACAGGTGGACCATAGAGAGGATCCTGACCTTCTACAGGTGCACCATAGAGGATCCTGACCTTCTACAGGTGCACCATAGAGAGGATCCTGACCTTTTACAGGTGCACCATAGAGGATCCTGACCTTCTACAGGTGCACCATAGAGAGGATCCTGACCTTCTACAGGTGCACCATAGAGAGCATGACCTTCTACAGGTGCACCATAGAGGATCCTGACATAAGGCGCGTTCACACCGCAGTACTTTTCCCACTTTAGTTCCGATATAGTTCCGAAATGTCGCGTTCACACCAAAAAGAACCGGAACTAAAATGTGTTCATGAGAACCTTTTCACCCCCTTTTCCGTCCCTGCTAGAGAGCAGGGACTTTTGTGGGAGAAAAAGGTTCCTATGTCTGATTGGCTGGAAGGATTGCAAACCACGCCCCGTAAAACTCCCAAAAAGTTTTGTGAAGCCGCCATTTTATTATCCTCGCATTAGCATTAGCCCAGCGCACAAACGCAAGAGACTAACTTATGGCAACACAAAATAAAACATGGGAGCGGTGAAGATGAGGAGGTGTCGGTGTTCTGGCGATTTACTCGGAAGGCTTCAGTAGAAGCTGCTGGACTTCCGGCAGTATACGCCGTGAAGTGGTTTGCGGCCTGCCAGTAAACCCAAAGCAGAAGAAGAAGAAGTGACGTCAGCGGCTTCATTTGCCTAATCCTCCCTCAGGGACTTATTCCGGTGTGAACGCGATCTGTACTTAGTTCATGAGAACTAAAGAGTTCTCATGAACTAAAGAACTAAAGAGTTCTCATGAACTAAGTTCCCATGAACCTTTGTGGTAAAAGTACTGCGGTGTGAAAGCGCCTATTAAAGAATATACATCACCTAAAACAACAGAGATATAGAGTGCTGCCATGAACCTAACCTCAGTGTGTGATCTCTCTTGACTCCCAGCAGGGTGGCCAGCTGACTCAGGCTCTGCAGCTGCTGGGCTGTGATGCGGGGGGCCTGGTTGCGTCCAGCCAGCAGGTCTGTCCTGATGTGCTCCAACTGCATGCTGTGGAGAAGGTGCTGGAACTGCAGCACAGAGGTCAGATTCCTCCTCTCAGTCTCCACCTTTGCCACTTTTTCCTTCCTCACGGCCTTCCTCTGGGCTCTCAACAACTGTAGAGGCAGAGGATTCAAGGAGCCGTTTAAAAACCTGCCATTGAACGTGTTACAAAAGACCTTTGAGTTTCAGACTACAAACTGTTTACGCAACGTTGTTAACCCAATGTTTAACTGCAGGATATTAGAGTACAGATCTCAAGTGAAAAGGCTACTCAATCCAGAGGGGTTTTAAAAGGGATGTTGTGGACAACAGCTTTACAGATTGTATAAAAAAAGACACTTGGAGAAAAGTTTAATTTGGGATATTGGAATATACAAGTGAAATGCGATTAATAGTTGTGTGCTATAGAAAAGATGAATAATGACTTTGTTTCTCAGATTTGCGTGTACCTAATGTGCAAACTTTAAGTTCCAATAAGTCCTCATTCTTTGAGCAAAACAAAGCACAGGCTTCAAACTATCCTTAACATCCCATCCAATACCCAAAAAGAAATCAAAAGTGAGTGGTAGTCGGATTGCCAAAGACTTACATTCTGAGTCAATTCATCCAGGGTTTTGTGCAGCTCCTGTGCAAATGCCAGGTTATGAAGCACCTCCTCGTACTTTTCCACCGCCGCCTCGAAAATGGAGAAAAAAAGCCAATGCACAAACCCCAGACAGAAACAGAAGATAATATGCTTTGGGTGCCAGTTCATAGCCAGGGCTTACCATCTGATCATGGTTAAGATCCTCCCCCCAGGTCAGCCTCCTCTTGTAGTCTTCAAGTTTCAGCTGTGGGCACACAAGAGACTTTACAAAGTCCAGGTGCCTGCCATCTGTCTACTGAAACTGAAATCAACACTTACCTTCTTTTTCTCCAAGTTGCGGGACTTTTTTTTTTAAGCAGATGAGACCATCTTCGATGTAGAGGTCATAGCCGTGGTAGACAGTGGAGGTCTCCATGCTGAACTGCTGGGTGCTCAGGTCAAGGTCCCCCCATCTGTCCTCCCCGTCCTCCAAGTGCTCAGGTGGTGTGACATCCAGGTTAGGGGAAGGAGACAGCTGCACCATGGTGAGCTTTCAAACTGGAAGGTTTACACCTTTTAGTAAAAAAAAGAAAATAAACAAATGCAAAATGTACGGGCTCCCTGGTTCTGTGCCCTGAAGCTGCTGGTACCGTGTCTACCAGCCGTCCAGAGCAGACGTGCTCCCACTTCGCCTGTTTTTAAATCTCGTTTAAAGACCCACTTATTCTCCCGTGGGTTTGCAAACCATGTATAAGACCGGTCGGTTTGTGCTTTTAAATTTGGGTTTATTTACTCATGTTTTATATTGTTTTTATGTCATGTACTGTACGGTATGAAAGTTTCCAGACTGTGGCTTTAAGAATGGTTTTATGCAATTATGATGGTTTTATATATCGATTGATGTACAGCACTTTGATCAACTCTGTTGTTTTTAAATGTGCTATGGAAATAAAGTTGGATTCACTGTATTAACAGAACCACTGAACAGCGGAGTCGGAAAGCGTCAGCGCCACACACCAACAGAAGCACGATGCAGGAGCACGCTGTGTTTGTTTAACCGCCTCAATTCCACAAATGTTCCACAATTATAAGAGAGGCTAATTTACACAGGTGACTGATTTAGATGTTTCATCATTAACGGAAAAAGCTCAATCTCATTTTAGAAAACAGCCTATTTCCCCTTAAAGGTGGGGTAGGTAATTTTGGAGAAACCAGCTCGAGTGCGCTAGAATTTGAAAATACACAGCCGGAAGAAATCTGCCTCTTCCTTCAGAGTCCCTCCTCCAACACACACGAACGCGCACATGACCAATGAGGGCACGAGATAAGTTTGTGCACAGATGGAAGGCTGACAGGCAGTTAGGCCATCCAGTTACTTTAGCCGGGCCGGCTCAGATGATTGGTCGTGCTTTTTACAGCGCTACGGCTTCCACAGATGATATTTTGTTATGGATTTTTTGTCAAAGCACTTCAGATATTCATTGCTATCGGGATGTTAAGAGCATTCCATGGAATATAACAAAGTGTATCTCGAGCCGGTTTCTCAAACTTACCTACCCCACCTTTAAGTAAAAGACTCATTTTAAAATCATCCATAAATATCTACCCGGTTTCTGAATTTAAGATTTAAATTCGAAGTGGACCCATGTTCTTTTTGTAATTTTCAAGATGAATCATTGGAAGATTATTTTGCCCTTTTTCTAAATTGTTTGTCTGATGTGTGAGTTGGTTGTTGCTTAGAGTTACAGATATTCCTGCTTCAAAATATCACATTTAATTATATTGATAATACGGAATCTTCCATGTGATTTGGTTTAATATAATTATTATTTTGGGTAAATACCATATACACTGCTGTTAATGGAGTGGTAGCAAGCCATCCTTTCCTCGTTTTATTAATAAATTAAAATGGTCTAAAAATACAGTCCTGGAAAATTGGTAAAAATGTTCATAGTGAATTTCTACATTTGTATTATTTTAAGTAAGCTCCTTAATGCTTTTGTGTCTTTTTTGTTGTTGATGCCATGCTGCCATTAGTGATGTTACGTATTGCGCCGAGGCTTCGGAGCGTGTGTCGAGTAATCCCCGAAGCTTTTTGTGAAGCATGTATCGAGCCTTGTATCGTTTTGGGTCAGTGACGTCATGGATGACAAACGAAGCCTCGCTGACCCTCGATATCACGTGACTGCTTCAGGAAGCGAGTCAGATCGGTTGAACCCATGGTTGAACCGTTGAACCACAACGCTCATAATACCCATGGTATAATAAGAACCATGGAATGGAATGGAATTAAAAGAGCTCAGACCCTCACTTATATAGAGGTCGGAACATGTCATAAGTATAAATAGATACAAGCATGAATAAATGTAGGAATAAAAACATGAACAAATAAATGAATAAATACAGGAATAAATATTGTGCAGTGTTTTCAGGGAAATTTAATGTGTGTGCGCTTTGGCTCAGCTGGAAAGCAGTTGACTCACGACCGCAGGGTCCCTGGTTCAACGACTGAACAATACATCTTCTTTGTTGTTTATAAAAGCTACAGCTAAATGAGATAATGTAGTTAATACATAGTCTTTGATATGGTTTAGCCTTTCTCAGGCTACAACGTGGTTAAGTTTATGAATATTATTAAGGAATACAAATCCCTCTTTGCAATGTTTACCAGCCTCCTTAGGCTTTTCAATCCCAATCAATACACTGGAATAAAAACAATATTGTTAAAATGAAAATATGATTTAATGTTCGTTGTTTAGAGTTATTCTAAGGCTTTACTCAATGGGAACTCGGTATGAGATGATGGAGCACACTTTTGAGATGTCCAATCTGCCTGTTTTACACACTTTGACCAACAGGGGGGTTTGTGTTCAAATGAAGCCCATGATGAAGCCTCATGAGATGAACCCTTTTGCGATCCAATTGGCTGGAAAGCTTCAAAGCTTCATAAGGCTTCATCTCGCCATCACTAGCTGCCATCATGCTGCCGATGTCCTGCAGTCCAGTTTAAAGACACACACTTTGCTGCACAATCCTCCACTGGTTTAATGGCAGTTTAATCACCAGCTTCAGCAAACAAACGCCACGCCAATGGAAACTGCTGACTCACCTGAAGTGTTTCACGCGCGTGCAGACTGAGCCCCTCTCAGCGGATGTCTCAAAGGGCCTGTTGGTGTCCGCTCAGACCTTTATATACCATGCCGTGCCGTTACACTCATGCGTTACACCGACGATCCAGCCTGATCACATCCGGTCCTGGCACCTGTCACGATGAGAGAACCGACTCCCGTTCCTAAAACAATCCGACAGGATTTCGTGGTAAGTGGTCCGGAATAATGTAAATGTATTTGTAAATTAAAACCGTTACAGCTGGTTGCCTGTTTACCTACTTGAATTTCAAATGCAATGCAAATAAATACACGAGAGAAGAAATATGACTAGAAGGGCTTTTACTCAAGTGTATTATGTGGGACAACAGAACAAAGTAAACCTAAAAGAAGAAACTAAAATATTTTGAACCAAAAACGTTTCATGTTTAATGTTAATCGATATTCAAAAAAGAAAACCCGCCTTTCATTTAGCATTTCAGTCTCTAAACATTACAGGTTATATTATAAACTGGCCCTCAGAATAGTGTGGTTTACAAATGATGTTTTATTTTAAAACATGAATAAGCATACCGTATTTTTGTTTACCAAATAATGTGTCCATAGATAGCCTACTCCTGCATTAAACTAGATTCAGCAGATTGAAAGGTTAACATTTAAAAAAGACTTTAGGTCGGATACTGTCCTGTAAGAAGAAACCAGGAAATCAATACATTTTTGGGCCAAATTAAATCCAAGAGATAAGCAATGTATTGATTGAATTTTATCTGTGATATACTAATAGACTAATTTTCATCTGCTATCATTATTTTCAATATAGTGTAATACGTACTTCGGCAAATCAGGAGTCATTTTAACATGCTGCCATGAAACAGTGCAGAATGAGCTACTGCAGGGCTTCATTCAGTGCCATTAATGCAACGCTACAGTTTACATGTACATGGGGAAAGAAAACGTTTGGAATAAGGTGCATTTATGTATAAATGTGTTCTAAAATATGGTCTGATTTTCACCTTAGTTACAATAATCAACAAACACAATCTGTTTTACTAATATCACACAAATTGTTGCTTTGTTCTTGTCCATATTAAAAAAGGTAATTCAAAGATTCACATTGTAGGTTGGAAAATGTGAACCCTATAACGCACACCAACTGAGTGAGGAGTTAGCAAACGTCGTTTTAATCAGTGAAACAAGATTATAAGTGTTGTTCGAGCTATTTTGACTTATAATAATCACTTTTTAAAAAACATTAAACATTTTGAGCTTGCTATACACAAGCATCTGCTGATGTGAACCACACTGTAAAAAAAGATCCTAATTTGACAGGAAATAACATTTTTATAGTAATTATCATGTTTTTTAAATAACTTGCAAAATCCTGTAAAATTACAGATATTAACTATAAATTAACAACCCAAAACATTATTTAAAGTATTTTGACAATAACAACAAATAACATTTATTTCATTTTAAGTAAATGTACTATATAATATTTACAGTATTTTTGCACTTTCAGAAAATACATGCAGATGTACGTAAAATAAAAATTATTATCTGTAATTAAATATGTAACTCGTAATATAAAAGTGCATTACTATTATAAGACTTTAAGATATGTCTTTGTAATTTTAAGGTAAACTGTAAAAAAAAGCATCAAATAAAAACTCCGAGCTATGGGCAAATAGCCATGGAAGGCAACCCATCTAGGAGAAGGGCACTCTGAACTAAAACCAGGACTGAGAGGAGTTGCGCACCCCAGTCCTTAATCAGCATAGTAAAGCCAACCATGAAGAATAAAGTAATTCCAAATCCTATACTTCCAACGGCGGGAGTCCGCAGGAACATCGCAGCGGATGGTGGTGCTGGTCCTCCTTCCGGAGGACAACATGACGATAGGACCCCAAACCAGCAAGGGAGGGTCCTGTCCGATCACAGCACCCCGTCCAATGCACTCATGCGTTGTCGGAGACCATTCGTAATGGGAACCTTCAATGCATGTACAGTGAGAGAAGAAGCTAGATTGGTAGAACTAGCACACTGTGCTGAGGAACGGGGAGTGGAGATCCTGGGAATCCAGGAACACAGAAGAGTGCACACTGATGTCCAGATCGTGTATCGCAGAGTGGAGAGATGCACGTTCATCACTGCATCTGCATGGCCAAACGAGGCCCAGGCTGCAACAGGGGGCGTAAGGCTAATGCTGGGTCCTCTGGCGCGTAAGGCTCTCTGTTGGGTTTATCATCACACCGATAGGATCCTTATTGCAGAGTTCTCAGGCAACCCAGTAACAACAGTCATAGTCGTGTACTCACCCACCAACGTGGCACCATCTGAGGAGGTGGAGAAGTTCTATGAGGACCTTGCAACAGCAGTCCGAGATGTCCCAGCGCACAACTTCCTGGCAATCCTGGGTGACTTCAACGCAAGGCTTGGACCAGAGGACGCACCCTACCCATACCACGACTCTACCAACCGCAATGGCGCATACCTCACGGCCCTTCTCATGGAACATGAACTACTGGCAGCGAACACCATTTTCCGGAAAAGAACAGGCAAGAGATGGACCTTCCAAGATCGAGCCACAGGTATGCTACGTCAGTTGGACTACATACTTTTGAGGCAAAAGTGGAGGAACTCCATCCTGAATGCTGAACCGTACAGCACATTCAGCTCTGTGGGCTCTGATCACTGCGTGGTCTCCATGAGGGTGCGACTGAGCCTCAGGGTCCCCAAGCCAAGCCCCAAGATCCGGCATGACTGGAAGGCATTCACAACCAACCCTGGCCTTCAAACCAGGTATACGGAGGAGGTTAGGAAGCGCTTTTGGCAGCTGGATAAGGGAGCGGAGCCCAGCAGCGAATACAGGATATTTGTTGTTGCAAACGAGGAGGCAACCAGGCTATGTGTGCCCGTGCTGGACAGAGCCAGAACCTCCCTACGATCCAGACATCCGGAGGTCGTAGCGGCACGGAGTAGGGTGGAGGAAGCACACCTCAACTTTGAGCGTGAACCAATCTTGGAGAGACGTGGGGTACTGAACGAAGCCAAACAGTTTCTCTTCAGTACCTACAACACCATCACAGGGAGGAACTGATGGAGAGTGTGCGAATAGTGCAGGCAGCGCAAGGTGAAAGGCAATATGGGGAGGCCTGGAGGGTCATCAATGAGATGACTGGGCGGAAGAGGACTAAGGAGGGACAGGTTGAGGGACACAGCCCCGAGGAGAGGGTGACGCCCTGGTTCAACCACTTCCAAAGCCTGCTGGGCATGACAGCGGATGCAGCTGAGGAAAGTATACCAGAATTCCTCCAGAACCTGCCCATCGATGATGGTCTCTTCACAGCCAGTGAGCTTGCCAGGGCGAAGTCCACAGTGAGAGAGGGCAAAAGTGCTGGGCCGGATGGCATACCCCCGGAGGTCTTAAAGAACTGTGATCTCGATGACCTCATCCTAGACTTTTGCAACCTCGCTCTACTGCACAACATGCAGCCTGATATATTACATTACATGTTACTTGTTAGACGCTTTTATCCAAAGCGACTTACATACTCAATACTGTGGACAATCCCCACAGGAGCAATTTGGGGTGAAGTGTCTTGCCCAGGGACACAACGACATGCTCACTGCAGTGGGGTTTGAACCTGTGACCCCCTGATCCCAACACCAAGGCTCTATCCACTGCGCCACACATATGGTCTCTCTCTAACATCATCCCGGTGCCTAAAGCTGGAGACCCCTCAAAGCCAGACAAATACCGAGGCATCAGCCTGACATGTATCACCGCAAACGTTTACATCCGGATGATACTGAACAGGATACGGCACGCCATCGACCCTCACCTGAGGCAGAACCAGAATGGCTTTCGAGAGGGGAGAACCACCGTAGCCCAGATCTTGGCACTAAGGAGAATGATCGAGGAGGTGAAAAAGGATAACCTGACTGCTGTACTGTGCTTTATCGACTTCAAAAAGGCATTTGACTCGAAGCACAATGGTGAAGATCCTTGAGGCATACGGTGTCCCTCCCAACCTACTCCGGGCAATAGAGACCATGTACGCAGGAACAAGGGCCAAGGTGGTGACCCCAGATGGCAACAGCGAGGAGTTTGACATCCTGGCTAGGGTAATGCAAGGGGACACCCTAGCCCCCTTCCTCTTCATCATAGTCCTGGATTATGCACTCAGGAAGGCCATCAGTGGACGAGAGCAGGATCTTGGCTTCACTCTAACACCAAGGAGGTCGAGACGATACCCCACAGTAGTCCTGACTAAGGATGGGTATCGAGAACCGGTACTAAGTCAATACCGGTACCTGATTGGACGGTATCGGTATACCGTTAAGCTGCTGGACAAACGGTGCTGCTATCGGTATGTGTTACGTCTACTTCCTTAGTTTAACTTTAAACCATTCTGGTTGGTTGGGAACCCTCATCCCGTGTGATGTATCCGGTTTGAGACCCCTCTGATTTGCCTCTCGTCATCTCTCTCAACAGCGCTCTTATTATTGTTGTGAGACTCCCGCAGGCGTGGCGGACCAACCCAGTCTCATGGCATCTCGTGTTCACCAACACGATTTTTAATCTATTGATTCGTGTTCACCAACACGATTTTCCCCTTTTTTTCGTGTTGCACAGCACGATTTTAAAAGCAATGTATTTCTACTGGTAATGACGCTCATGGAAGCACGGCATTCGTTTGTGTCGGCTGCCCTTAAAGGCAATGTGAGCGTCCATTCTCATTGGATAACGGAGAATTGTACACCCGGAAGTAAGTATTCCCCTTACTGTCGATTGATTTTACAGTGATATCTGCACTACTCATCGACTAAAAAACACCAGATTATCCTTGTTAATTACACAACATTGATTGGTTTAAATTGTGTGCAATGCTTTTGTATTTTTCCCCTTCGATTCGGAGAAACAAATATTTTTTCGGAGTAAAGGATGGTAGAAGACACTACACTACCCAGAATCCCCAGCTATCGTTTGGACTACACCATGTGCTCTGTTTGACAAACCCCGTTTTTTTTCACCATTCATTCCAATGGCTGGCGTCTATGTCACGTGATCTTCAAATTTCTCCCTGCAGAAAAAGAAAACATGGCCGAACTTCGTTTTATTCTCGGTGGAAAATGCCTAATTTAAAGTTAGTTGGG